CACACAAGAAAGGATAAATGCGCCTACTCAAGAATTTCTTTTAGGGATTTACATTTGCGATACAGTTGACACCGATAGTTAAATATTTCATATGAGTTTTAAAGCTGAAAATAAGCATTTCGAGTACTAAAATACCCACCCGGTTGCTCTTCATCAAAATTAGGGACCGAACTGAGCTAAAGCGCACTGTCACTTAAAACGTCCTCAAGTTAAAAAAAATAAATAAATATTTACAACTAAGAGTTTCTGAGAAAAAACAAGCTATTCAGTCGGCGACAAGAAGACACAATTTTCGGTGCACAAAATTGAAAGTTAATATTCGGTTCCTCGTGGCAAGGAGTTAGCACTCCTTCCACGAGGAGTTTCGTGGGCTTGGGCTGACTGCGTCAGACAGGTGAGCATAAGCTACAGCAACAACAACATGTATCTAAAATTTAGTTTTAATCCACTAGTTTAATAAGTTTAGAAAAACAGTTTAAAGTTGACTGTGAACAGGTGAAATATAATGCAATTATTGTGAGATTATATTAATATGGAAGTTAAATATTTCGTTACCGTTTCGAAAATGAAAACAACGTTAGAATTACTAACAAGTTTTCTTTTTTGTCGACAAAAATTCTTCCTTTTATGCACTAAAATCGGATTTTAATCTGTTAATTTACGAGAATTTCAAAGCAAAACATTAAGTCAATGATAAATATAAAAAATGTGACTAAATATGATTTGTTTCTATGACAATGTATTCGTACATTAATGTATAAAACCTGCTTCATTCGGAATAAAATAATCGTAAGAATATAATGGAATCTACCTTTACAGATTTCGAATCCTAGAATTAATGATATATTATTTTCGCCGTGAAAACTAAGTTGTATTATACATATCTATAATCCTATACATTTATAAAATGTATCTGTCTAAATGATTAAGAGCTACATTTAGGTTTAATTAAAGATTTCAGCGTGACTTTGACCGATTGGGTTGAAAACAACATATACTTTGCTCCAGAAACTAATCATTTTCCCCTTTCATCCGTCGTCAAGGAACACTATTCTGTTTTATGTTACTAAATTATTTTTACAGTTTTTTCTAATGGCTCATCGGTTAACAAGCCCATGGTGTTTTTAGGAAAACTTAAAGGAAAATTGTCTGCATTTAAAAAAATAGTATATTGTCTGTTTTACAACAAAGGCACACATCTACATTTGTCATCTTTTTAGGGAATGCTATTTCAATTTTAATATTATTCTCTATACACCATTTTCCTGTCTTTTTACGGAGTAAAAGAGAGAGCTGTACAAAAGGAGATTTTGTGTAGACCTCATAAGCAATTTTTTTCGCAATACCAAGCATATAAATAAAAATTTTTAACCTTTAAAAGAGAGGGTAAAAATCACTTTCCAAACTGAAATTACGTGTGTTGACATGTAGTTTTTTCATGTTTTAGAAGCACTGAAATTAAAATGCTTTCGTTAGGTTATTTTACGAATGTACAACCTGCAAATACTATAAAAGTGAAATGTTGTTTAAGGATAACTTTTACATCGGCAAGACGCTAATATGCAAAGAAATTTTGAAATGATTTTAGTAATATAAATTGGAAAATATCTGTAAAATTCAGAAGAAAGCTCTCCTGTGAGAGTGTTTCGAAGCGAACGTAACTCAAATAGTATCTTCATCTTAAATGGCGCAATTTGAAACGCTGATGAGATTATTGGATGGAGATTTAAAACTTGTTACGACTAAGTACTCAATCGTAACTTTAATGAAACCCTGATGAAGTTTTAATTTCAGTTTCAACACATATTTAGAAAAGGGGAATATTTTATCGATACTGTGGCAATTTCCCTAATTTTTCTCTTTTTAGACTGCTTCTTATGCATTTCAAAAGAATCATCAGATCAATATATATGCATTAGTTATGCTATGGACATCTATATATGTATCAAGAAGGATATTTATAAAAAAAATTTTATTTTTATTAATTTTACCATATTAATTATTTATATTATTTTTAAAATGATTAAAATAAATAAGTATAATTATTTTTATGTAATTAAATTATAAAAATGCTCATTTTATTAGTTTTCCTATTACTTTTAATATATATATATATATATATGGTTTCTAGAAAAAGGTGAAACCCTATAAGGTATTTCTCCCACTTCCCCAGCGTGCCTTCGTGGTGTAACAGTAGCACGCTGGGCCGGTATTAAAGAGGTCCGTGGTTCGATTCCCGGCGAAGGCGGTTGCATATTTTTCATCTCTGGCTTCCAAAAAATCCTAATGGCTCTACAACCCAATTCATGCTTGAGCCATGGTCGAAAAGACTGTTGCTTAGACGACAACTATTGCGAAAATCACAACTGACTTGACGGTTGAAACATCATTTTTCTTTTTCACATGAGCAATGATTCAAAAATACCTCTTTGCATAAAATTGGTAGAACACTAGGGATTTTAAACGTGCCCCACAATTTCCATGTACGGATCTGACAAATTAGACAATGAAGAAAGAAGATAAAGCAAAAGACGTAGTTTACCCAAGTAGCAGGAGACGAGCAAACGTTGTGCGTAATGCGTAATAGCTTTGATCAGTATTTATAGCCGGAAAGTATTTGTGTTAATCGTGAGAAGCGACTGGGTTAAAGATATGGCAGTGCAGAGAAATTGCAGGGGAAGAGTGACGTAAGGCAGAGTGACGCAAAATAGTGTAAAGCGAGTATTTGAAGCGGGGATGTATTTCAATAAAAGCTATGAATTTGAGGTCTATTTCCATATGGTTCCAATTAAGTTTACAAATTTCGTTTAATTTTTTCTGAATTAGCTATGTCATCAGCGTTATGTACGTCGTATGAAATGGATTGATCTGGAAATGACGCAGTTCAAGAACAGTTACTACTATTTTTATAAGAGAGTGAAAATATCCAAAATTAAAAGTGAGGAATTAAGGGACTACTGATAATTTAAATAATAATTTTGATTTGCATATTTTTTATCATACATGTATAGGTATGTATATATAGATAACACATATAAACAAAATGATCCACAAAGTTACTCCGATTTAAATCCATAAACATAAGTGAAGAAAATAAGTCTAACTGAAACTGAAAAATTATACAGACGAATTCAGTAATATATAAACAGTGTATCCAGCTAATAAAATTAAATGGGCATAATCTAAGAAGAAATTTGATTTTTTTGTTTATTGTTGTGTTATAGTTCATTTTAATTCTACATTCACGCAAATGCAAGTTCTTTCTAATATAATCTAATGGTGTTGATGTATTTAATTATGGCAAAGCACACTAGGGTTATCTGCTTAAGGGGAGGGATGCCTTCGTGGAGGTAGTTCTAAGGGAAACTGGCTCGTATACACGTTACACATGGGGAAAACCCCGAAAACGCCCATACAGCCAGCCCGTTCGCGGGATTCGAATCTCGGACCGAACTACCAGTGTTCAGCGACTTTATCGCTCGGCCGCTGGTCGGTCTTATAATCTAATGTGTCAGGTATTTTACGTTTGTACTGATATTTTATTCGTGTTGTCTTATGTTTGCGTATTTCTAGGAATTGTCAGTTGGATCTTGGTGACAGAAACTTGCATTATTAAATACTTTCTTTAAGCTTTCAAAAGCAACTTAAATCTGTGTATTGATCTTACTACCTACCTCTATATATGCATAGCTTATTTAACATTTTTAGCTTATTGGTAGAACATAAAGTCTTACATGACCAAAGCAACAAACTGATTTGGTATTTATTTAGCAATCGCATTATTACTCGAAATTTTAAGGCATGGTACCTTAAGTTTCGCCAAAATCTGGCATTTCATCGCGCTTGCTCTTCTTTATTTGCGCCTTCACATCACTCGTGCGTAATTTCTTATATAGTTCAAACGTAACGTTTTAAAATCCATAAAATTTAAAAATAAGAAAATGATACGTTTTCTTATATATATGCGGCTTAAGTGTTTGTCGCCGATAGCTTATTGGTTGCTCGCGTAGCTATAAATTGTTTTACTCCCCGTGCAATGCAGCGCGTGACGAGTATTATGAGAAAGCTAAGCCGTAAAAAATTAAAAATACAAGAGCACGTGCATTTAACATTTAATAAATAAATTGAACATCTATATATAATAGAATTCGAAAATATGCAACCGGCAACGACGAAAAAACAAATAAAATGAAATAAATAAAGATCTTTATTATACGTGGCTTCAGTGTCTGTTTGTCGCCGATAGTTTATTGGTTGCTTGCGTAACTGTACAAGCCAATGGACTGAAGTTGCTACGGAACAGGGTTGCCGTTTCAATTGAGACGTAAACTATTTCCTGTAAAACTTGCGGTGAGACCATCCATAAGTCTCAGGGCCAAACGCTTAAGCGTGTTGGCATTTTTTGACCTGAGCATGCATTTGGACACGGTCAACTTTATGTTGCTTGTTCAAGAGTTCGTGAAAGAACGGACGTAAAATTAAAAATAATGGATGGTCCTCTGCAAGGCGAGCATAAAAATGATGGAAAAATCTACACAAGAAATGTCGTGTACAAAGAGATCTTTGACATGTGAATTAACATTTTATTATTTAAATCACCTTTGTTTATTGAGCTAGCGGTGGCTCTTAAGAAATGTACCGCCAGCAGTTTCCTTCATTGCACTCTACTTTAAGCAAGTAGAAGGGGGAAACCCCGTGAGGCAGTAAGCAAAGGGGCGTCCTCGCTGCCTGCCCTGGTAATTCAATTTGAATTAGCAGACACCTTTGCACAAGTCATTTTAATTACAATTTATAGTATCTAAAACAGCGGTCATTTCGTATGACCTCCGAGCGTTCTAGTCTTTAATATCCATAGATTACTGAGGTATATCATGTTCTTTTGCAATATCTAAGTATGAAGTTCTTATTGTCGATTTACTCCTTTTATACATTAAAGATGGAATGTAATAAAATACAAATAAATTTCTGTTTGATACAAAAATATAAGGTATATATCTCACCTGGGAAAAATTAAGTCCATTCAATGGCAAGCATTGCTCTTCCACTTTCTCTACAGCAGCTGTTTGCTTGTGCAACCGTTCCGCTTCCTGCGCTAGATACAAATCCAGAACTGGTACACCTCTAGAGCGGACATCACTCTCAGTCAAGGAATTGACCATCAACATCACCCAGACTGGTCTTTTGCGTTCCCAGTTGCCAGCAATTGCATTGAAGAGGTAGTCAGCATACAATCCCCTCCCTCTCTGATCAGCAGTCATCCAGTGAGGCATCATTCCCCTCACGTACTCTAAGTGCTTTTTCAACCGACTATAGAGATCTCCGGGAAGAACATCGGAGAGATTCTTTCCCTGGGGCAACATTTGGCATGTTGAGAGAGCCGACACTGTTGTGGGATTGACAAGATCCAGTTCAAAATAGACATGAGAGGATGACGCAAATGCTTGTTTGGCATTGTCTGGAATGTATTCCCAAACTTTAGTATAGGGCACATGAATTGTTCCAAAAAGGTAAGATGGAGGATCACGCTTGATGGTCCACAGAAAAGAGAATGGATCGCCATCCTAAAATAAACATAAAACGAAATAATGTACAAAACGCAGCAATACCTATATAATATGCAAAACGTAGTTGCTGTCAGTTTAAAATGTCTCAATTAAAATTTTGTCATTAAAATAAAGTGAGGTATTCGTTCTTGTTACACGTCCAGTTTATAACAATTTTATTTAATTATGAAATATTTTATTGCCTTAAATAATTAAAATGAGAAGCCGTTTAATACAGTCCATTGCTCTTTACACTGATTTTTTACACATTCGGGAATCGTCTCGTGTGACGTACTAAGAAATAAATTTGATTTTACATTCGTCTTCATTTAAACTTACATGGAATACATTAAATGGCTGTATGTATATTATTATTTCACAACAGCTTAAAATTGATACAAGCAATCACGGTCTTTCTATCATCATTTAAAGTTGGTAGATATAATATGCGACATCATATATCAGCAAATTGTTGATACTATATTTTTGCTTTTGAATCTTTATTTGCATATCGAATTGTACAATGCCACATAATAGAAGATTTACGAAATTTTGGTCTAAGCAATATTTTTATTTTGTGTTTCTCTTTGTGAGTGCCAAACATTGGACTCATTTGCAATGTCCAATTTCAGACAATAGATCGTTTGTAAGGTTTCTATCAATTTTAGACTTCTTAAAATTGAAGTAATATACTTTAGCTCATAAAGTTATAAAAGCATAATGTGATTGAACAGAAAGCAAATTTGGAACATTTGGTTATATTGTATTAAAGGATGTTTTCATAATGAAAAATGGGGTCCACCAGCGGCCGAGCGGTAAAGTCGCTGAACACTGGTAGTTCGGTCCGAGGTTCGAATCCCGCGAACGGGTTGGCTGCATGGGTGTTTTCGTGGTTTTCCCCATGTGTAACGTGTACACGAGCCAGTTTCCCTTAGAAAGTCCTCCACGAAGGCATCCCTCCCCTTAGGCAGATAGCCCTAGTGTGCTTTGCCATGATAAAATACACCACCACCATAATGAAAAACGTCCTATTATCATATAAAATTAAACTGAAGCAATTAGATATTTTGAGGAAATAATTTCGCAATTATTATGCACTGAACTTCAATAATGCTGAAAAAAGGAAATTGATTAATGCATAACACCAGTTTATTTGTCTTGATTATAAAATACATACTGGATTTATTAGAAGTCTAGACCAGAGATTCTCAATCAGGGGAAATTTATAGTTTCAGGAGGAATTCCGGTCAGCATTTCGTTATGTGCTAAGTATTCAGTTTTAGTTTATAAATATAATTTATTTTATTGGAGTTCATATTCTATTTAAGGTATTCATATTCATGAACATTCTCTATATATTTTGTAGCTTAATTTATAAAACAGATTGTCATCATACAAAAAAAAAAAAATGGCATTCTACAAAATTACATACAAACATATCTTCGCTCACTGACTAGTTCTGGAAAACGTTTACAAGTGGCTGCGTTGAACTGATTCACCAGCTGAAGTAACCTTCCAAGTTTGATAAGGTCCAGGTTGACATGAAATATCACCATACCAATATCGAGAACTTTTATCGGAAAACTACAGTGCTTAATAGTAAATTATAGCAATTATTCTATTATAATTATAGTATATAAGAACTAGGTAATTTATCACGTGCATCCTATTTTTTCTTAGCACAAATTATCAAAGCATTCTGATGCATGAATATCTACCAGTTAATTTTGCACATGCTATTACTTTTCTTACATTTGCTTTCGTTGCTGTTTGCATTTAAAAAATTAACCCAAACAGCAAATTTAGGTAATCCGACATGAAATACATTGACGGAAATCAACTTGCTACGAAATTTGTGTAATGTAACATGAATAATCTTAAGAAAATGACGCTTTGTCTGAAAAATAATATTACAGAAACAGCCTATTTTAACATTAAAATAAACGACTCTCTCTCTCTCCTAATTGAAGAGATATCTCCAAACTGGCCATGATTTTTGGGATTAATTTTTACTTCCAAATTTCGCGTCACTGCAAGTCACGAAACTTGCCGCCAGCGAGGTATTGCCAAATTGGCAATGAGTTTGGCGACTAATTTTTATTTCCAAATTTGGTGAGAAATCGCTGAAAGTAGCGAAACTTGGCGACATTTTGGTCCGGTTCCTGCTTAACTGCATTTGGTACTGTAATTGAATTGCGGTTGCTATACATGGATTTATTGGAATAATCAATCCATACATATAAAACAGCTCAAGTATCACACAAGAACAATGATATAAAATAAAAAGAAAATATTTGAAGTAAGAATCGGAACAAATTAATATGGGAATAAAAGTAAAAAGTTAAAAATTTAAAAAAACAAGGAAAGAAACATACGAGATGTAGTCTTTATAGGGAGTTCACGAAAAATCTGGCATTCCAGTATAGTTTGATTATTCCAGTTTCTGAGACTCTTTATCTTATTCTGGGCATACAAGAAGATGCTCTGGATTCATGATGCCAAAATTACAAACTTGGCATATACTAGATGAAAGGATGCCAATTTTATTAAGATGATGTGCCATGCAATCGTGACCTGTTTGTAGTCTGAAGTTTGTCACAGCCTCTTTACGGGATTTTCGACAAAACGTTTTCCAAGTGTCTTGAATGTTAGATCAGGATTTGCCTGCTGATTTTCCTGCCGGGTCAGATTTAAGAGTGCCCATTAAATTCTCAAAAGTATGCTTTTTGAGTGCCTGTACTTGATTCGTAACTGTAACCTCACCCAACCCTTACATGTAACGTATCCACATTTGCCTTTCAGGAATTCCGAGAATGGAAAGTACTAGACATTTCCCAGCGGCCGGGGGGAACGGCATATGACCAGAGAGAGCTTAAGTCTAAGTTTTTAGTTCATAGTTGCCTTCGCAGTATTGATTTCTCTCTTTAGATGCGCTTTGATTAAGCGTTATAGTAAAGGGACAGTGCCCACGTCCACCGTCTCTTATCCCTTTAGATACGCTTTGCATTGTGTTCTGTTCAACTTTCTTAGTAGTTTGTAGAGCTAACTACTGATTGTGCCTTAAAAAGAGCTGTACGAGTACATTTAGGAAGCTAGCACACGGGAGTTAGCTTCCTAAATGGAGGAATGCCGTGGTGGAGGATTTTCTAACGGAAACTCTACCTATGCGCAGCGTACTCGTATTCAGGTTATAACACATTGTGAAAATTACAAAAAAATCAACCAGGCAATCAGCTTATTTTCTTGGGTTTGAAACCGAGCCAAATATTCAAAGGTGTTAACCATTTGGCTATTTGTTGGGTTCTGCGCAGAGAAAGAAACATTTCTAAGAATCTTCGCTTTCGGGATATTCGAATGGTTGACCTACGCGAAGATAATTTCTTTGGCGAAGACCTACGCTAGATAGAGGTGCGTGTAGAACATGTGGACAGAGGTGCCTCAACTTTATAAAATGTTCCGTGTATGTATTCACAACACGTCGTAGTGATGCGCAGCTCTATATGTAAAAAATCCTTTAATATTTCCGTAACACATTAATCTGAATAAGTCTGAATAATCTGAATAAGTCTGAATATTGGTTGAGTATCGAAGCAAGCTGCTCACTTTTACAAAGTAGTTTCTTCACAAAACGGAAAATGAAGACTTGAGCATAATTTCACAATGATCAATATGAATGTGGAAAGTTTCAGATATTTAAGGTGTTTCTTTTGCGAAAATAAATTTTATCAAGCTCTCATCGGTTCTGTATGCATTCAGTCCATTAGGGCCCGTGCTCAGTCAGCAAACTATTTGATTACCCTGTAGTGTTCCTTGCACTTGGCCTGAGAGGAACGACGAGGAAGTTAGTGAATTATGTAGCGAATTATCGCTGAATGCAAAACAACTTGACTCAAGAAGGGTTAACATATTTGTTTATTTACTCAAATAAGAATAACAGTTGGCCCCCTTCACGGGCTTACAGGAAAACCACTACTCAGGCTTTAACTCAGAATAAGAAACAAGAAACTAAACTATAATTCACTAAACGAGACTTAGCCGAAGCTGGACGCAATCATATAACGTAGTTAGCCCTTAAATTAAACTAGCCGGCGAATATCAATAGGCAAGTAAAATACGGCCGAGCGTACCAGCTTCAGGTGTGACTTAACTAGAAGGCAAACACGTGCCACTAAGGACTCCTAGCACTCTCTCCTGAAGTTAGCTGAATCTTCCTTAAATAATTCTTCTAACTCATTTCCATTCAACGATATTCTAAAAACTCATTCTGGTAGGGATTTATAAGTAGAAACAAGAATTGATAGGAAAGGGTTTCAAAATTAAAATAACTTTATAATTTATTTCTCCCACCTTCTTAGCATGCCTTCGTAGTGTAGTGGTCAGATATTCGAGTGGTTCGAGTCCCGGCGAAGGCGATGCTCCTTTTTCAACTTCCCTGCTTCCAATTAATCTAATGTCTCTACAGTGACGCCCTAACTAAAAGGGCGTTGGATGATGATTCTCCACACCTAGTATCTGACAACTAGGTCCCCTAAAAACCACAGTCGCCCTTTAAAAGGGGGAGTATATAAGGCATTTCTCCCGCCTTCTTATTATGCCTTCGTAGTGTAGTGATCAGCACCCTCGCCGCGTATTCAAGAGGTCCATGGTTCGAGTCCCGCCGAAGGCGTTCTTCATTTTCCATTTCTCTTGCTTCCAAAAAATGCCTAATGACTCTACAGTGGCGCCTGATCTAAAAGAATGGTAGATGATGATTCTCCACACCCAGGATTTGGCGAATGGGTCCCCTAAACCTCAGTCGCCCGTTAGAAGGGGAAGTATATAAGGTATTTCTCCCGGATTTTTAGCATGGTTTCGTAGTGTCGTGTTCTGCACCCTCGGCGCGAATTTGAGAGGTCCATGGTTCGAGTCCCGGCGAAGGCGTTGGTCATTTTTCATCTTTCCTGCTTCCAATTAACCTAATGTCTTTACAGTTACGCCTGAACTTAAAGGGTGGTGGATGATGATTCTCCTCACACAGG